TTGAGTGAGTGACATGGAGGCTCTGCGTGCACAGCAAACCACCAATCACAATCATCCTCGATCAGATCGCAGCAGATAACCGAGCTAGCTCAGCTTGTTGCTCTGATAACTTAAGATCCAGACTTCCGTGACTAAAATCCTTCATCCGGTTAAATATAGTTAAAAAAATACCAATTGTATAGCATTAAAGTTCAAGAAAGGATGGTTTGCGGACAAAAAAAACTGCCTTTTCTTCAATTCCTGTATTTTTTCATATCGCAATATATATCGCAGGGGAAGAAAATATCGCAATGTCAGTTTTTTCCAATATCGTGCAGCCCTAGTAAGGGCTGCTCGATTATGGCAAAAATCATAATCTCGATTATTTGGGTCAATAATTGATATCACGATTATTAAAAACGATTATCCATTTACTTTGAAAACATCAATTTATTGGAGAATTTTTTGAACAGTATGTTTTTAACAGTTGATTACCCTGAACTTTAAGTATAATTCAACTGAAAAAACAATAATAAAAAAAATTAATGAAAAAAAGAAAAAGTAATAATAATAATAAAAAAATAATCGTTTTATTTCGATTGCGTTGTTTTCGTAATCGTTGCAAGCCATAATCGTAATTGCGATTAAAATACGATTAATTGAGTAGCCCTAGCCCTGTTAACAACAGATTAACACATCAGCTATGTACCAAACTTGAATCTCCTTACTCATGGGACAAAGTGGATTCAATATGTATACCACCCTATGAACTGTTCGCCCCTAACCCTAATGCAATCTTGTCTTTTGACCCATTTCTTGATTAGATGGGAGGCAAACATAGAGAACACTAAAAATACGGCAATAAAAAACACCCACCACTAGGGCTACACAATAAACAAAAAATTAAGGCTTACCATAATTAAATGAACATAACGGAATTTGAGCTTGAAGTTAAAAATACCTCCATAACACATTGACATCTCTCCTAAATATCGTGACTACAGTCCAGAGTAGGACAGTAGAGATTTGATGAAAATACTAATTGTAGGTCTTATTTTAATGCAAGGATTTGTTATTTAGCAGTAATGTAGCACACAATGAAAGTGTAAGCAGTGCTATGTAGATATCATTTTGGGTGAAAAGATTTGCTATAATTTTAATTATAATTTGCTATAGGAGATGCACTATGAATAAGGAATGGTCTTTGATGTACAAATGTGAAACAATAGCATGAATGTAGCACACCATGGAAGGGAAAGCAATGCTCTGTTTGATTAAATGTTGTGCCATAACATATTTTGTCCATAAAAATCAACAAATAATTGCGATAGGGCTCTTGGGATCGGACCATGACAGAGAAGCAAGGGGTCAAATTAAACACATAAGGATATCATAGGGTAGTTTAGTGCCGTTGACACCACTACAATTTGTATTTACTATTCGTTTATCATGTCATTATGCAACAATTGTTTAAGTAATGTGATCGAAAGTGACTGTTCCTTACAAAAGTTGTAACTGCACCACCACTTTTCACCTGAATCAATGTTGAATTTGTGTCATTTGTGTATGTAAATGACTCAGTGAGTAACTTTATGTTGCGTCCTTTGGATACAGCGTATTCTACCATCGGTATCTCAGATTACATTTAGCACTAGGAAGCTCTCTAGGCAACAAGTCGTTGATTTCAGCTGGGAGCGTGAACTAGAAAAGGTTTTCAACACAGACTGCATAGGTCGTCAGGGCGGATAATGGATGTATGTTACTGGCTCTTGCAAAGTGATGTTAGCAACCAAGAAACACATCGTAATGTCTCAAGAGTCCTGTGACTTATCCTAGAGATCAGGTAACCATGGAAAAGATAAAAGAAGTAGCTATGAAATCAAGCTGTCATCACAATTGTTGCTTGACATTTAGTGTTTTCCATCAAAGTCAGGCCCGCCCCTTTTACTAGAAAGTGTTGGCAACAACAATGCTAGGAACCGGAGGATCACTTCTGTGAATTCTCTACCGTAAATCTGATAGGCAGGACACTGCGATGCTTGTTGGCTCATAGCAAACACTCGGGTAGTATGAAGATCTTAAGTGGGTCTTATCTGTGTCATGGTACATTATGACATTAAACATTTAAAGCAATGAGTGTTTTGTCATGTTAAACCTTTACACTTGGTCCAACATTATTTTTAACGTCTAGCAAGATAGCTGTCGAGGAAATTCCCTGCTAGTCAACAATAGCCATTAGCATTAGCCAGCAGCTAGGTTAACGTTACATGTGGCAGCAGGATGGCTAACGGTACCGTTAAAGACAAGAGAAGCCACATGTCTGGGGCAAACCATAGTCAACGACGTACCGCTTGGTGACATTAGCAATATGATCATATATATGTGTTCCATGTAGAGCTGGGTTATCAAGGGTGTGAGTAATCGACATATATAGCCGGTTAACTGATCCCTACTACTACTACTACTAGCGAACGCCATCGTGCTAACACACATGCTAACTGCTGTCAGTCACACCGGAGTCAGTCGGGAGGAGCGAACGGGCCAGGGCTGTTTACTGGAAAACACCGTTAACTGGGACAATCACCTCGGCAAAAAAATCGCCGGTTGGAGAAGCAACTAAGGGTGACATGTCTACACAACAAACATGGCAGGGATATGAGTACAACAAATCCGTAAAGAGACCCTTACCAGCTGCTCCTGAGTTGTCAGGGCTTCCGCCATCTTGAAGCCTCCGCAACGTCGCAGCGGGCGCGCCCACCAGCCGCTGGCTCACGCCCTAAACCCGAGACGGAGAGCGAGGCTCCGCCCACACGCAACACTGTTTTTATCAATGCAGCTACTACTTCATAAACTGTTTAACAATGCACTTACTACTGACAATTCATAAACTGTTTAACAATGCATCATACTACTGACTTGTCATAAACTGTTTATCAATACAGCTACTACTGACAATTCATAAACTGTTTAACAATACAGCTTTACTGTTTAACAATGCACCTACTGACAATTCTCAAACTGTTTAACAATGAACCTACTACTGAAAATTCTTAAACTGTTTAACAATGCATCATACTACTGACTTATCATAAACTGTTTAACAATGCATCATGCTACTGACTTGTCATAAACTGTTTAACAATACAGCTTTACTGTTTAACAATGCTACTACTGAAAATTCTTAAACTGTTTAACAATGCATCATACTACTGACTTGTCATAAACTGTTTATCAATGCACCTACTACTGACAATTCTTAAACTGTTTAACAATGCATCATACTACTGACAATTCATAAACTGTTTAACAATGCAGTAACTACTGACAATTCACACACTGTATTAAGCAGCTGCTACTGATATCATACACTTTATCAATGCAGCTTACTGCTGATAATTCACATACAAATATGTGTCAATGCAGTCTGATAATGACAATTCATAAACTGTTTAGCAATGCAGCTACAAGTGATTATTCATAAACTTTATTTATCAATACAGTTTAGTTTAAACAATTGATCTTTATTTTATTTACAAACTCAGGAACTACTGAACATAAACTTTGGTTGCATAACTGTTACCATTTGACAGTTCAGCACTATATTTAAATTGTAAATATTTTTCGTTACGTTATGTCCACCTCACACATGTACAGTTATTAAGGCTAGTTTATAAACGTTGGCCTACACTATTTCCATGATTGTAAAGCTTCTGCCCGTTTCTAATATGTTTCCTTTTTTATTGGTAGGCCCAGAGTGCTTAGGAACCTTTGTATTCAAAGCTTTATCCCTTCGGACTGTTTTTGTAGAGCACCGGGCGGCTCTTCGGCGGACTTTTTGATTTGATATTTGTAAACCGCCGCATGAATTGTTTACACTTAGCAACATAAATACTATATCATCCGGGCACAGTTGTTTTTCGCTTGATCGCTTCCTTACTTTTTATACACCTTGTTAAATATAGATTTTAAAAGAGTTGTGTCTAGAGTCAAACTGATGTCATGTTATTGAACAACCAACTACTAACTCGTTTGTCAAAAACTGCAGATCTTCAGTATGAGCACCTCAGGTCCTTCGCTGAAAAAGAAGAGCTACATGGGGCAGCACCAAATCAAGAAGAAAAGGTAGGTTTAAATCCAGTTTCACTTAAATTAAATAGTGTTGGATTATTAAGAAAAGTTAGAACCAGATCAGACCTGTTGCCTAGAGACGTCTTTCAATGTTTGTCTATTAATACACATCAGCCTTGTGTGTTAAGTGCTTACCACCTTTTTTATTGATGATAGTTTCCATGCTCCTGATGATCCACCAGACGGAGACACACTGTTGCAGAAACCCGACAAAACAAACATCAGCCGCACAGTGAGTGTGACAGCTTGGTAGTATTTCCCCTACTTTGTCATCTCCTATTCTTTTACACATCTACATAAAATACGAATGACATGTATTATTCTCCATCTTAAATGTAGGATGGAGGAGCAGGGTTTCCACTGGGGGAATCCACTTTAGCTTTAGATGAAGAAATGCTTCAGATGTTGGATGCTGTAGATCCCGTGAAGCCTGCCGTTACCACTGCATGTCCAACAACAGGAAACAGAAATGCACAGAAAGACGCAGCATCATCAGCGGCATTGGCCCCTGTACGTACTGAAAGAGCCCCCGGCCCCCAGGGAAGAGTCTGTGGGGGTAGTGGTGAATCTAATAGACCAGGATGGAGATCTGACTGCAAAAATCTTGCACAGCGGCTTCTCTTCAGCGAGGACTCTGAGGAAGCAGGGTGTGCTCAGAGGGGCCCATACAATACCAAGGCACCCCCAGCTTCTGCCTGCATCAATGAGCTTTCCGGTCAACAAATAAAAAACAGTCGGCAAGTAGGCAACTCCACAAAGTGAGTTTTAACTTCCACATCTTTGCCCACTTTCTCTTTAGTTTCAATTATCCAGCTCTATCTTTTTCTGTTGAAAAATGATTTGTCTTACTTTGTGTGTTTCAGTAGGCAGGCAAGTACTCACAGAAGAAAAAACTCTCCTGGTAGCAACAACCAAAGTGTGTCAAATATGAATGCTGATCCAACTCCGGATGGTTCGAGGGACTACATCTTGTTCAGCCCCACCCACCTCGCGGCTAACACGAAGAAAGCCAAACTCCAGTCGTCATTACAGAATCACTCTGCCTCTGTGCTCACGGTCCCCAGTGGCTTAGACCTCACTACTCTGAATGACACTTTACCTCAGCCAGGTACCTGCACTCCTTTTCATTTTTAGGGTTTATATTTTTACATTTGTTTCTGTTTCTCTGTGTTGTTGACTTTTGCTGGATTCAACTGTTAAGCTGACTCCCAATCGCTGTGATATATAATGGGACGGGGACCACTGCATGGGGCTTTTAAATAACATGTTGTTATTTGTTCAAGATCCAATGTAGGAATTTGCAACATAAGCAGAACATTTAAATAGTTCCTGAAAGTGAAGTTGATACAAAAAGGAAAATATTTATTATAGCACATTGTGTCAAGACAAAAGACCAAAAAGAGCCAGGACACAGAGACACCTATTGCGGGGCTGTCACCTTTACCTGCCAAAAAAAAAAAAATGGACGTAAAGAATTGAAAACCACTGGTACTTTTAAACACTTAACAGTCAGATCTCAATTCCCCATTCACAACCAAAGACATCTACGAAGTCTCAGCCCTCACTCTGAAATAAGATGTATCTTTCCCATATAAAATCCAATTTGCTCTCCTAAAAATACAATGTTTCACAGTACTAAAGACGTCTGATTAAATACTACATGTAAAGGACGTTTTTACTTTTACTGTAGGCGTTGCCTTGTGTGCTCCCGCGGGACAAGCTGAAAAGCTGCTGTTATGCAGTTGGGGCTTACCAAAACCTGTCCTGGAGCGCTACCAGAAACACGGAGTGACTCACATGTTCGAATGGCAGGCTCAGTGCCTCACTGTTGGACAGGTGCTGCAGGGAGGAAACCTGGTATACTCTGGTAAGAAACTGAACCTCTCTTTACAAAGTGATTCCCAGTGCCAGTCATTTTCAGCTCTAGATTCCTTCTTTTTCAGCCCCCACCAGCGCTGGAAAAACTCTGGTCGCAGAGCTGCTGATGTTGAAGCGTGTATTAGAGACCAAAAGAAAAGCTCTCTTCATTCTTCCATTTGTCTCTGTGGCCAAAGAGAAGATGCACTACCTTCAGGTGAGGAAGAGATGGACAGAAAAGTACATGCATGTTAACATGGGAATTGTGTTGTCCATATGTGTATTTATCTCCATCTAACAAACTTTTATCTGTGTCCCTATAGAGTGTTTTTGAAGAGGCTGGAGTTCGTGTGGAGGGATATATGGGCAGCACCTCAGCGGCTGGAGGGTTCTCAAAACTGGATGTGGCTGTTTGCACCATAGAAAAAGCCAATTCTCTCGTTAACAGACTCATTGAAGAGGACAATATGGGTCTACTAGGTAACAGACCAGTGATAACTGTAGGTTCTTTTTATGTATAAAACATGAAGTATGAATTTGAAAAGTGTGATTTATTTTGTGCTACAAGGTATGGTTGTGGTTGATGAGTTGCATATGGTTGGAGATTCTGGAAGAGGATACCTACTCGAACTACTCTTAACCAAAATCCGTTACATTTCGCAGAAGCAGAACACCACTGGGTTTGTTTTCTTTATTTTGTCTATATTTGTATTGTTTAACAGCTACAAAGTTCCTCTGATGTCAATCTGTACCTTTCTGTCTGCAGGTCTCTTTCTGAGGGTGTACAGATCATAGGTATGAGTGCCACCTTGCCGAACCTCTCCCTTCTGGCCGGCTGGTTGGGTGCAGAGCTTTACCAGACCGACTACAGACCTGTGCCCCTGCTGGAGCATTTCAAGGTGGGCTGCAACATCTACGACAAGAGCCTCTCTGTGGTCCGGAAGTTTACTCCTTTACCTCACATTAAGGTAACTGAGAGTGTAGTTCAGATATCATCCAATGAGGGTGTCATAATGAATGATGCCTACTTTTCTGACCAGTAATATAATCATGCGCTGTATGTAATACATGTGATTCATAAAGGGCGATGATGACCACATAGTGAGCTTGTGCTATGAGACTGTGAGAGAGGGCCGCTCTGTGTTGCTGTTCTGCCCCTCGAAGAACTGGTGTGAGAAGCTGGCAGACAGCATCGCCAGAGAATTCTACAACCTCAGAAATGCTGGTACAAAATAATTTACATTTTGAACTTTCTATATTTAAAGGTCACCTATTATGCAAAATCCACTTGTTCATGTCTTCTATAAATAAACATGTGTCCCCTCTGTAAAGAGATTCTGAAAAAAGGAAAAAAGATTCACTCTCTTTTTGTCCTGATCCATTTATATAAAAACCTGTCTGAAAATGAGCTGATCAGATTTTGGCCACTTTGTGATGTCATAATGATTTTTGGCTTGTGTAACCATTAGCCAATAACTAACCAAGGTAACCCCCCCCCCCCACCTTTTCACCTGAATTTCCTCCTAGAACACCGTTGTGTTATTTTTAACCAAATATCTCGCAGAGGGGTGTTTGGAGTGCTCCTTATTTTCATCTAAAGCAGGGGTCTCCAACCTTTCTTCACTGAGAGCTACTTTGAAAAAAT